GGGTGGCAGCATGCCGAAGCCAGCGGCGAACCTGCAGCTCAGAGCCTTTGCCCAGAGCCTGCGCGCGGCCAATGCAGAGGTGCTGTGCAAGCTTGCCGCAGACTGCCCCGAGGGCTCACTGCTGCAGAAGGCCTTGAGAGAAGGACGAGCTTTTGCCGATCTGGCGGTGCAAATCCATTGGGGCCAGGCGGTGAGGCCAGGCTTGGTGTGCTGGAAAGCAATCTGGATGACTTCTCGTAGTGGTGTGTTTAAGCACGCCGTAGCAATATGGGTTTGCCTCAATTAGCCTTCAGGCACGCAGCATGCATGAGCCAACCACTTTCTCCATTTTAGAGTCACACAGTCGAAAGAATGTTTTCAATTGACCAGGTACGGGTCTCTGAATTTCCGGGGGCCCGCTGGGGCGAAATGAGGTCGGCGGATGTGCAGTGGCACATTGACGCGCCCAACTCGGCGCTCCACATGGCGGTCTCGGTGCATGGGGGCCGCACTCTGAAGATGAAGCTGAGGGATCCCTTCGCACTCGACACAAAGACCGGGACATTGGCCATGGGGTGGTTTAGTCCCAGGTTGACCCCTGTGTATCCCTTCCCCTGCTGCGGTCCAGCAAAACCTTGTGTAGGGTGTCTTCTCGTCCAGGGAGCCAGCTGATCTAGAGCGTTGTTCGTCAAGGATTCCCAGAAAGCAGCGTGCCCTCCTCATCACAGCATCCCAGGCACAGGCCAGTTGAAACCAGCTTCGCTTGTGTTTGCCAAGCGACTCTGCTGCAAGGGACCCTTCCACTTCCGCACGTGACAAGTTAAAGTGACAAAGTGGCTTTTGCTTATACAACAAATCTGCAAGTCACCGGCACTTGTTGGCGAACCTAGCTTGCCCGAAGATATTGAAGTACAAGAAGCTACATTTGTGTTTGCTCCTAAAATCAGTGACGCCCCCTTTGGATGCCATTTGACAGAAACGGGACGGAAGCCAACAATCTTCAGGGCTGCTTTGCGCTTGAGACTTCGCAGGATTGTCGACGAACGGCAAGAGCCCGGGGACGTCTACATCGGGAACCCTGCAGCCTTCGAGCACGGCCTCGAGTATGACGAAGCCACCTGGGAGCGACGGAGTGCAATACTTTTGGAATGGATGCTATTACAAAACAGTAGCAAACAGCAGCATAAGTGCCTTGTGGCCATTCCAAGTAAAGTAGAAAGAGGCTTCATCTCCGCACCTTTAGACAACCGACCGGCTCTTCTTTACCTCGGCCGAGCCGTCTGTTGGAAATAAGGTCAACAAGCATGCCAGCTTGGATGTTGACGTAGTCAATGTAGTCAATGTAGTCAACGTAGTCTCTTAGTCACTGGTAGGAGACGCGCATGATAGCGCTCCAACTTCGCCTTCTATTCACAGAGGCCGGACGCGGGATGGTCAGTGGTAGCGCGCACTGGGGGGTCTCTATACAACCCGGGGAAATGGCCTCTTTGCTTGCTTCAAATGAGCCCGCAATTTTGCGGGGCCCTCAATTCACAAACACAGCTATTCAGTGTATTGGTGCTGCACGCGTCATGGCGATGGTGAAGCTTTGTCACCATGCATGCCGTTGTTGTGCATGCTTTTGGGAAACATGCTGAGACTGTGGATCCAGTTGATTTTGGTCATCCCCAATCTTATTCCTTTCACCTAACCTCCAAGTGGCTGTCAGTTTCCATCCACCCACCAGAACTAAAGCCTTCCACCAGAGACACCATTTACGCCCAGAGCCAAAGCTGCAGGAAGAGCTTGGATGTCCCAACGCGGCCATCGGGATGGACGCGCTAGCAAAGGGTGTGGCAAGCCAGAAGTTTCGCCTGCCCAGCATGGAGGAAGTGCGACCCTTGGCATCATGTTGAGGGGCAAACGATTTTGAGAATAGGCCGTTCATGTCCCCTCCAAATGTTGAGAATAGATTCTGGGCATCTCGGGTGGATTGTCGCAGGGAAACTGAGCGATACTTGCAGTTATTTTCTTTTTGAGTCCATAAGTCACCACTGCCCGCACGAATACATGGACAACGCACACAGCAATACACAAATGGCACATTCACCTTTCTATGACATATGTGCGCGCTTGTGGCAGGCGGCTTGGCACAATGTTCACGGGTCATAACATCAAGGAAACACACATCCTTGGCGGTGTTTTGAAACCTAAGCAGATGAGCCTGAGCTGAAAGTTCCATCATAAATATGACAGCAAATGCACATTGACATAAAACTTTTGATCCCAAGCAAACACTTCCTTTGGCTGTCATTTGTGGCTAGAGTGCAGACGCTAAAATAAGTACTTGTCGGCGGTCAGATGTTCACCTGTTTGAGCCTCGATCCATTTTATCGGGGCTACCTTGTTTGTGCGTCAGTGGGCCGCCATCATCCATCTCAGACTAGGACACATTGATCGCCATTATACAATCTCCCAAAATACTCTGCCTCCTTCATGAGCCGAGTCCTGTGCAAGCGGAATCAAGACACAACTTACTTCGGGCCTGCCTTTTGATTCAAGGACAGGCCTGTGAAAGCCTGAGGGACGCGAGGAATTAATTGATCGCTTGCAAGCAGCGACAGTCTTCGAGATCAAATATTTTATTAATCTGTACCTTTTTAACATTGTAGATCAGTGCTGATTTGAAGTTGGCATTGACTGCTGCAACTGCTTCCTTCGGAAGCAGCGTTCACGTGGTGTCATGGTGCCATACCGCTGATGTTCCAACACATACTGGCTGATTGACCAGCGGTGCACAGAAACAAGGTGTCTAGCGCTCGACGGACGCTCAGCCACTACCGTCCCGAGCCAATTTTGCGGAAGGCCGACACTTGAAAGGTCAGCACCGCATCGTTTTAGCACAAAATGGCACGGAACAATTGGCCATGGGCTGGCCGCCTGAGCGTCTGCCTGGCTGCCTGTCTAGTGATGTGCCGAGCCTTTGCTGCAGTGATTTCATGCCTTTCTGGGTGCCAAGATCTGGTGGGTAGGGCGAAGCAAAAGACAAACAGGTATTTGGCTGCACCGGCAATGGTTGCTTTTCGTTTGTCGTGCTGTTTCTCACCACTCCGTTGCCAACATCTGCTGGTGTTCGTTAGAGCAGCCTGTTTTCCAGGGCAGACCCGCTAACCAGTCAGGGTGGGCCGATGTTGCCGCTGTAATGTGCCCCTCAATTGCTTGCAACTTCTCCTCCATTCTTCCTCCTCTTTCTCCTCCTCCTACTCTTCCTCCTTCTCTTCTATGAAACACCTGGCAGTGAAAGTGACACGACGCTCATTGAGCAACAGCTGCTTCCCAAACCTCAGGGGACTTTCGACGTCGCATGGAGCCCAGGCTCCAGGTGCATGAGCCTGAAAGGTGCCGGCCCGTTGCTGAGGCGGGCTGTCCTGCTGGCCTTGCCATCCCAGACAACTTTTGGATGCAGTTTGCAAAGGAATTCTGAGTTGCCAGCTGGAAGCCCTGGTTCCCAGACACACCCTGTTGGAATGGAGGTTGGCCGTTTGGGCCATGGGGATCTTGATGCGCACAGAAGTGCACAGGCTGCACCTGGACCGAGAGCGGAAAGCTCCAGACACCAGGCAGTGTGCATTGGCAACTGCAAGACCTGCTCAGGCGGATGCCAGATGGCTTTGATGAAGCTGTCAACTTCGGCAACTGCGATATAGCCAAGGAGAGGCATCACGTGCGTCTCACGCCATGTACGCCAGCGGCTTTCGTTTTAAGTGGCGACGACTCCCTCGCGAGGAGATGTCCCTCCGGGCTGAGGCGGTGGATGCCGAGGCTTTGGCTCATCTGGCGAGCGGCGGCTTGGTGACATGAGACATTTTGTGGCGTGTTGTTTTCGAGGGTACCCCTTAAACCGAAAGGGATGGTTTTCCTTAAACCGAAAGGCAGGCCACAACGTTTGGTGTGCAAGTCTTTCGACAGATACCCAAATTGGCATCTTTGCACCAGGCTTTGAATCGAACCTCAGAAAAATAAATATGCCTCAATGATTCACATTTGCCATCTTGGGTTGGAAGGGACGCTGGGTCGCCCAAAGGTATGGCTCTCCAAACTCTTGTGTTAGTTGAGGGTACAGCGAGTGCAGATGTTGGCCCAAGTCATATTCATAGATTAAATGAGAACTTGTAAATGCGTGAATATATAGATTTAGTATGAAGATTTGAAACTATGCAACATGGGCCATGAACTTGGTGATTGCTGGTGCAGTGTCCACTACATATCCCCTGCGCCATAAAAGTGAGCCGGCTAGTAAAAACCAGTGGTCCCAACCCAGGTGAATATGGTGGTTTGACTTGCCTCATGAACATCGTGGGCCCAAAGTTGGCAGCGCAAATGCACATGGAGGCGCTGGCAAGCCCGGGGTGTCTAGCAAAGCCGACAGCAGACAGACCTTGGCCTGAAGGCAAAGATCCTCGGAGAAACTTTGAAGCCTTCGAAGTATTGGAATCTCAGCGTGTGCAAAGTCGCGCCTTGTTCGGTTCCGCGTCCCAACTGCGAATCGGATCCCAGAGGTGAGGGAACCCTGCTACAGTCCTTGTGGGCTATGGGCTAACCGAGGAGCAGTTGGCAAGAAGGCCGGGGGGATGCTTACCGGCTCATCAACAAGCCGAACTGTGAGCTGATGGGCTATTGCGGTTTGGCTTGCGGCATCGAGCTGCTGGAGGCACACAGACGCACACCATGGTTGCAAAGCTAGACTCGTTTCTTTGGTTGGCTCAGAATGGCTCAGGATACCTTCAAGTACGTTTGTGGTGGTCTAAACGCCGGCTTCCGTTGCTTTGTTTTGATCTCCAGCTTTCAAACGCGACTTCCCAAAGTGGTGCCTGTTTTAACCCTGTGTTTGACCGAGGTGGTTTGCGCGCGACTGGGGCTGCAGCCCACCTCGGAGCTGCAGCTGGCGCGCTTCGGGCCGGGGGATGCCTACGAGGCGCACACGGATTCCTCGGCGCTGGAGGATTTGGACGAAGCGATGCCGCTGGAGCAGCGCCGAATGATCGCGTCCAGGTGGGCCTTCGGCGAAAACATGGGGCTCGGGGTTTCGGGGTGCGGCTTTGAAGGTGCAGAACCGGATCCAGATGGATCCAGGCTGATGGGGTGCTCGGGTCGAATTGGGGCAACGCGAAAAGATTTTGGGGGGATCCCCAAAACAGTCCGCAGGTTTGCAAGGAATGCCGAATGCCAGGACATTGGTTTTGTTGCTGCGTTGGTCATTCCGGCTTCTGCATGTTCAGTTCTGTCTCGAGCCCAGTACAAAGTGGTCTGGCCTTTGACAAGTTGAGCGCTATCAATTCCAGGCGAACATTGGCTATCGTGCGTTGCTCGCCAGGCGCATCACCGCTATTCTGTATCTCAACAATGACTGGGATGCCTCCTTTGAAGGCGCCCTTCGGGCCAACGGGCGGGTTCCCGTGGATGTGCCTCGAAGAGAAGTCTGCCATGAGTGTTTGGAGCATGGCCGAGATAACGAGGCTTGGTGTAGACTTGGCTGCTGGTCAATGTGTGGCTGAGGCAGGGCGATCTTTCTGTGCTGAGCGCGTTGCCGAGGTCTTGCCATACGGCGGCTCCTTGGTCCTCTTCCGCTCCAGGGACTTGGAGCATGAAGTGCTGCCTCCGAAGAAGAACAGGTATGCCATGACCATGTGGTACGTGGAAAAAGGAGTCGTGCGCTCATTTGAGGTCAGACTTGACACCGAAATGTTGGGCCTCAGCCTTTGCGGCTTAGCGGCGTGCGAACATGAAAAGTCTGGATGCACAGCACAAAAGGCCATTGTGATAAAAGTGGCTGAGCAAAGCCTTTTCGATCAGAAGACATCTCACCGCATGAATGATGGATCTTGCCAGCAGAGGAGCCTTGAAGCTGTCACACATATTTGAGTCAAATAGCAGGGCAAGCAATGGCGGATCACAACAGACTGTCAAGATCCACACTTGGAGTTCTACTGCTTGCCCTAGCAGGGCACCTTTCTCATGAGAATCAGCTGATGATTTGCGAGATTCAGTGAATATTCTTCAAGTGTTCTCTTGGAATTTTGCGCTTGATCTAGGGGTAGGATGTAGGTTGAGTGCGACTGCGCTGGACCCATTCCGTGTTGATTGGGTCCAACCGAGGCATGCCTGTAAAGCGGTTTTTGAGAGCCTAGGTATTTGGGCATCACCTTTATCGGGTCGAGCAGAACGCCCTTCCAGGTGGGAGACTCGAGCGACGATCGCAAGGGCGCAGGTTTCATGTGGGCCATCAACGCAACGCCCGTTCATTTCACGGTTGACAAATCATGGTATCATAGTTAATTGTACAAACCATTGCAAGGATTCTTGCAAGAGGGAGCATGACCATCTGCAAGAACATCAGTTGTGGCCATAGCTAATGCTAAGTGACTCCTGCTTGGTTGGTGGATGATGGAGTGCTTTTGCTCTGGGGAGTTGTGAACGAAACATTCTCTGTTTGTGTATCTCATGGGCTGGCGAAAGTGCTGTTTGAGGTCATGCTTGTTTTTGAAGCTTGCACGGTTTGCATTCATTCCCTTGCTTCTCCAAGCAAGCGGACATGCCAGCCAAGCGCGTATTTTTTTGGAGCCACTTTCAGGCGGTCCCACCTGCCTTGAGCTGAGTCGTATAACCCCGGGCTTAAAGGAGTCACCCTACTTTGTCACTGTTTCAGTGTGCGTTTGCTCTCATCAAGCCTTTTGTGTGGCTCCAGGAGCGAGTGGATTGACTAGCCTGCAGACACCCGCCATCTTTTCTACTCTGTAAACATCAGGAAGTGCAAACTTTATCCATCAGTAGCTATTCGACCCTTCTGGTTTTGCGTCGGCTGTCGTTTGCCGATTGATTCAAGTTCCCGCAGAGCCAGGCCGGAAGCTTGCGACGATTGCCAGGCCTCCCGGCGGAGTTGAGTTCGTGCGGAGCAGGTCTTTTAGGAATATGGGTTTCCACCTGCATGTTTGCCTTGCAGGTGTGCGTAGGAAAACCGAGTAGTGCTTGCAACTCAGGCTCGAGACGTGCCATTGCAAGCTCTGATATTTCTGCTTCTTGGATCAGAGCAGTGGTGATTATTTTTATAGGTGTTGACAGCGATTTTGGGCTCTTTGCGAGCCAAGGACGGCGAGATTTTCGTGTCAATCGCTGCATATGCAGATCCCGAGCTTCCTGCAACCATGATGTCCCTGATCGCAGCGGCGGACCGCCCAGAGCTCATCCGATTCGGCATCGCTGCTTGGCGCACACCCCGAACCTTTCTCGTGCGGACACACCACTTGCCGTGTCTCTTGTCTTTTAGAAGCAGAGACGCAGTTCGGGGCGGTTTCACAAACGATGGACGTTCAGCATTTGAAGGGTTCCAGTGAAGCGTTGCCCGTTGGCTTCGGAAGGTTTGGCAGGGGCCAGGGAGCGGCTTTGAAGCTGACGACCTGGACCGGCGCCTGCAGCGGCATTGAGCGCTACCCATCTAGCAGCTGATTCACAGCTTCAAAGCAGATGTGAATGCCTTGGGTCTTGAAGCTACTGTCCGCTTGCGGAAAGATCCACTTCTGTGATTGGTGGTGGATTCGCAGTTGCATGCCATTCGTCCAGCTCAGGAAAAGCGGGGATCAGCTCAGGAAAAGCGGGGATACAGCGGTCGGTTTGTCTGGCTGCCTGCCTGCCTGCCTGTCTGTCTGCCTGCCTGCCTGCCTGCCTGCCTGCCTGGCTGTCTGTCTGTCTGTCTGTCTGTCTGTCTGTCTGTCTGTCTGTCTGCTTGTTTGCCTGTCAGTCTGTCTGCCTGCCTGCCTGCCTGCCTGCCTGGCTGTCTGTCTGTCTGTCTGTCTGTCTGTCTGTCTGTCTGTCTGTCTGTCTGGCTGGCTGGCTGGCTGGCTGTCTGTCTGTCTGTCTGTCTGTCTGTCTGTCTGTCTGTCTGTCTGTCTGTCTGTCTGTCTGTCTGTCTGTCTGTCTGTCTGTCTCTCTGTCTCTCTGTCTGTCGGTTTCTTTGTTTGTTTGTTTGTTTGTTTGTTTGTTTGTTTGTTTGTTTGTTTGTTTGTTTGTTAATGTGTTTGTTTGTTTGTTTGTTTGTTTGTTTGTTTGTTTGTTTGTTTTTTGTTTGTTTGTGTGTGTGTGTGTATGTACGTATGTCGGGTGTGTGAGCTGCTTTGAACATTTGTCAGCTTTATCTGATAGCGATCCACCGCCCGCCCAACAGATTCACCCACCAACAGCCTTTTCAAGCACCATCCGGGATCTAGAAGACAATTGATTGATCCACTCCGGAGTGAAATTCAAGGGGAAGTCGATTTCCATTTTTTTGGCTTCTCGCAATGAGCAAACTCAACAAGACTATTTTCTTTTCTTGACAGGGAACCCCTTGAGAGAGGGGGCAGAAAGACGGCCAAACACCCATTCTGGGTGTCTTTGGCATAGGAACCATCGCCGTGCCCAGGCTTGCCACGGAGTGGGACCTGACGGAGGTATCTGCCGAGTCTTGGGTGGCATGATTTGGCTTTAGAGCCTGGCAGCTAATGTAGGGAGCTAAACAGAAGAAACTAAGTGTAGTCCTGCTTGGTTTGGTGCACAGCGAAGTGGGCCAAGAGGTTCATGAAGCGACACTTTGCCTGGACTACGCAGGATCAGGCATTTGGCGATGTGAATAGCGCCTACCCCTGGCTTTCTTTTCATTGCAGCAGCTAAGGAGCGCCCAGTGGTGGATTTGCATTTGCCGGACAGAGACCCTGTGCCGGTCTGGGTCACTAGGCAGAAGAGCCCTCTTGCACGTTGTGGATTGGAGTTGCAGTTTTGCTTTTGAAAGAAACTGCCACCTTTTTGAAAGAGCAAGTTGCATGTCAGCGAATGCAAGAAAAACAGATCAAGCACAGCCTCTCTCAGAGCTGAGCTTACTAGACTGGCAGCGAATACGCACAACAACTTCTCAACCAGACATAGACTCGTGTTTTGAAAAGACCAAGTATTGCCATCAGAAGCCCAGCAATGACTTGGCAAGCTCCCTTCCCTGGTAGCAGCAGCAGTAGCAGCAGAAGCACAGGCACTTGCAGTGGCAGCAGCAGCACCAGCAGCAGCAGTCGCAGCAGTAGTGCTGCTGCCAGCTTTGGCTGATGCTGGTGTGTGTAAGTTGCCATCGCTGTTAACATTGCTGTTGTCGTCGTTGTGGTTTTGCGGTCGTTTTGCTTGTCGTTTTCGTGGCATGTTGTGCGCTCAGCCGGCAGTGGGCAACAAGGTTTAAACTTGCGAGTGTGTTGGGGCGTGACCGAGGAGATGCTGGATGGCAGAATCCGCAGTGTTCGACTGGAAGCAGAGGACCTGGCTGCTGATCACGGCTAAGTTGTTGGTTCTTATATAAGTAAGTGATCACGGTGATTGGTGCTTGAAGGGAACAGATGTCAGCCCTGGCGTATCTCTTTGGTTATCGGATGCTGCTCAACAGGTTTGCGTGTGATGCCACCAGCCTTTGGACGTTTAGTTGTTGATTGCGTACCCGTTTTCCATTTCCATGCTCTTGGCCAATTAGCATGTTCGCAACATCAATGGACGATTAGAACTGACAGGCTCACGTGGGTTGAATGAAGAGAGTGCAAGTGCAATTCGTTCAGCCCGACACAAATCCATTGTTTCGGTCTAGGTCCTGTCACGATGGCCGTTCCTGGCCATCCTGCTGGATTTCACATAATGTGTTTGTTGGCACTTCAAAAGGGACGCGGGACATGCTAAGGTGTCTTCAGAGCCTTTAGGGTTGACTGTTGCTTCGTTCCATACCTGGATCTTGACTGATCCAGACTGAGCCTAGAGTTGCGGACCAACTCCATCTTACGGGCTCAATCATGTGCTCCTGGGGTAGGTTCCCCTGGCAGATGCCAAGAGATGTAGGTATGCGAAGGGTATACATTAAGGGGTACCTATCTGGCGCATGGTGGATCCAGGCTCAGGCAGTGCGGTCAGCTGCTTTCTCGCTCTGACCAACAGATCCAAACGAAGGCAGCGATCTGCAGGAACAGAGTAAATAACATACTGGGAACTGGGAACCCAAGGTTTGCTCCAGGCCAGGAAGATAGGCAGGGGGGCAGCCAGAAGGGAGCCACCGCACGCAGGATGCGAGGGGGCCGTGCTGGGCGAGGTATTTGGCTCAGAGCCTTGGCTACATCGAGAGCCAGAAATTGGCAAGCCTCTCTTTTGGACGGGTTTTCAATCGCACCTCGCAGAAGTCAAACAATTGTTGTGGCCACCCTGTTTCGGACACGCTGTGTGGAGAGCTGTCAAAAGTTTCGTGTGGACCTTTTCAAATGGCCGCTTTTGTTGATGTTCCAACACGAGCCATATTTGATACATTTGCCAAACGTTGAGAGGGATGGAATGCAGGTTTGGGGGAATTTGCTCAGTGGACCGTGCTGAACTGTGCCTGGACAGTTCCAGTCTTGCTCTGAAACCCACAGCCGAGAAGTCAGCGACGATCTTGTTTCAATTCTGTTGAAGCGGGAAGTTTGTGCCCGAGGCTCCTGTGGAAAGATGAGTCCTTGTACTTGCAGCTGGACAGCCACATGCGATTCACGCCAGGTTGCTTGGCCTTGCAGAGGTAGTGAACAGTAGGTACCCGTGATGCCTGAAGCGGCGGAGACAGAAGAGTCAGCAATCGTATATTGTCTTGAAATAAAACACAGGGTACGCAGAATCCAGGAAACACCTTAAGCAATCATCATTGTATTTCCCAGCAACGTTGCAGAGCACATCTTTCAAAGAATTGGTCTGTCCCGGAGGGCTGAGGTGCTGTCAAGTGTTTGCAGCCTTGGCAAGGGCTCCCCTCACTTGTCAGTGTCCTCACATGGAATTCCCTTTGGGGCATTTGGGGCGAGGGGAGCGATGCTTAGTGGTCTTAGTGCTCCCAGGCTGGGACTCAAAGGCTCGCGGTGAGCTCTCCTGGTGTAGCCAGCAATCGGAGAAGCCTGTGCTCTGCTCATACGGGCCAGGCTATTCTCTTGGCAGCCCGGCGTGCAAAGCCTTTCGCGAATGGACCAAACCTGGCGTTCATTTGTAACGAAACCGCTCGTTTGGTTTTCAGCGAGCCCGGAAACTCGCGCGCCGGCCAGGCACACCCTACGGAGAAATTCCCAAGGGCCCCCGTCCAGCGACAGTGACTCTTGGCAAGCCAGAGCCTGGCACATGGGCACTGTCAGCATCATCCCAAGTTGTTGGGCATTGGGGACTGGCATTCAGCGTGGAGCCCAACATCGCCATTTTTGGAGGATAATTCACATTTGGGCAAACCATGTTTTTTTCTGGCCCAAATTGTCCGTTTGAAAATTCGAGTTGAGGATAGTTTCTTAAAGTTTAGCTTTCAACTCCCGTTGCGCACCCTTCATTCGTGTAGAATTCCTCGAAACCAGAGTTCCTTTACTTTCAGCCCAAAACGGGTCAACACTGGATCGGTCTTGACACCTCGTAAAAGTATGCTAGTTAGTAGGGGTTGGTAGGTTGAAAGCTTAATACAAGCAAAGTGTAAACACGAAGCAAGTAAACACTTTTGCTGCCGCGCAATTGGGGGGCACCCCTCTAAGGGAACCTTTCAACCCTTGTATATAGCATGCATGTGAGATTCATTTCACATTGAGTGCTGTGTGAAAGCAATTCTCAGGGTTTTTGCCAGACTGCAAAGCAGAGGGCGTTTGATTCTGGACCTATCTATCAATGGAGACTTGAAGTAAAAACCCATCTCCTGGATTTTGGACGACAAACACTGAAGAACGCCCATGGCAGTGTATGCATTGCAGCATGCTTGATGTTTCTGCAAGGAACTGTGCGAATACCTTTGACTCTGACGGGATCCTTCTCATCACAGCTCGAGACCTCAAAGAGCCATTGAAGCAGCCAGAGACGCCTGGACCGCCTCGTCTTGTGTCGTTTTCGGGTTTGTACTTTACCGTTCGGTGATCTGAGTGCGGTTTGCCAAGGAAGCACTACTTCTGGGGCGCTCAATTCTCCTTCTCCTCTGCCAATGTCTTGCGTGAAGTGCCATATGACCCGCAACTGCAAATGCGACCCTGCAGCAAAGAGCATGGCAATGGACGCAAGTGCGGCTGCCACACAATTTTTATGGCTAGCTTCTGGTTGGTGACGCATTTTGCATGGGCTTGGGATCCTTGAACCAGGCGTGGCGCTTAGTCTCCCCTTGTCCAACCCGTGACACGGTCGTGACATGGAGCTTAGGCTGTTTTTTGGAGAGGAGAGCCTCATGGCGGTGCGTCTGTTCACCCACGGCTGGGCCTCTTTGCTGAAGGGCCGGAGACGCGAACTTCCGCTCCTGCAAGTCTTGGCCGTGTTCTGTGCTTGTGCACTTTCTGCCATGCGCGTACATGTCATGCAAGCTGGTCATGATCTGTTTCATACGCACTCAGGTCAGGTTTGTATGCTTTCATGTAGTCGTGTTCATGTGGAGGATGGCAAAACAGAGCCGAGGATGAAAGATCCAAAGAGAGAGAGAAAGAGAGAGAGAGAGAGAGCGCGCACACACTCTCTCTTTCTTCTCTCTCCCTCTCTCTTTCTCTTTCTCTCTTTTTTTCTCTCTCTCTCTCTCTCTTCTCTCTTTCTCTCTCTTTCTCTCGCTCTCTTTCTCTCTCTCTCTCTTTCTCTCTCTCTTCTTTTTCTTTTTTCTCTCTCTCTCTCTCTATCTCTCTCTCTTTCTCTTTCTCTTTCTGTGTGGCACATTCGGGCGCGCGCAAATGTATCAAATGTCGGCCCAGGACGTCTTTACCCCAAAGGAGCAACTCTTCTTTCACCTCTGGGAGCGCGACTACCGCAGGGTTTACTGGAAGGACAACAGGCGGATGTTGCATTTTCTGCAATCTCTGGGCTGGTATGGCGATCACTGTGTCATACGTCATATATGTCATATACTCCCCTGTAGAAAAGGGACATGAGAGCATGGCCAAGCCATGCCAGGCAGCTCTTTGCATCGTTGCTGAAGGACTGATCCGACCGCACCCCTCGTCTGAGTGTTTTCTGGCCTATTTGATCCCGAAAGACCTCAAAACCCATGTTCGGGCTATTCCGGTCTTTTGGGTTCACTGGCTTTCGAGCCAGCCCAGCTTTGTGCTATCAACCTTTGCACTTGCAGGAGGCCTGTTCTGAAGACGTCAAGGGGAGACATTCCTTTTCATAAGGGTCCGACAACCACTTTGAGAGGAAGGGCCGCAGCAACAACAGCATGTTGTTGCACAACATGTCAGACATCCTGCACAAGCTTACAGCTCTGAAAGCATATTTTGAAGACTCAGTGCTTTGGGGAGGAAGGTTGCTCTCTGCAGGACTCTCAGCGCAGGGTGCGGGCGCTGCTGGAGTCAGGCCACGCCCCGAGCAGCGTGTGGCCACTCCCAGGCTTGCGATTGGTCAGAAAGCTGGGGACGTGCGGGGGGTAGGGGGTGGGTGGGTTGCGCTGTGGTTGAGGTTGTTTGTCACAGTTTGTTTGTTGCCTCATAGGTTGAGGATCTGAGGCAAAATGAGCCAGTCCAGCAATCACCAACAGCTTGTGCTCAGACTTCCCCGGCTTGTGTTTAGAGCTTACAAGGTCTGAATTCCCAGAACTGCAGGTTTTGGCGATGGGTTCATTTCCAAACGAGATTTCGGAGCCAGGCGGCGGAGACGCTGACAAACCCGACGCCTTCGGTTTGGGCAGCCACCGCACCTTGGGGGAGTACGAGGCGCGGGCGCTTGCCGCACCCGCACCCGAGAATGAAGTTCCTGAAAGGAATCGGAAGATCTCGCTGTCCAGGCAGCTGCTGGTGTCTACTTCAAGGAGAAGCGCCTGGAGGCTCGATTGGCGCCGGGGTGAAGGTGTGCCTGTGTGACGGTGTGACGTATGAACGCCTTGCGATGTCCTTGTGATTGGAGAGATTCCTTGCAGATTTGCAGATTTAAAGCAATTTGGTCACCAACAATTTGTTGATTTGAGGTGAAGGCCTTGCGCGGTGGTGGAGCTCTTGAAGAGCATCACTTCAAAGAGGAGATAGAAATGCAGCTCAGCTATTGTGTCCCAAAATGGGTGGTTTCGCTTCAGAACTCAAACCGGGCACCAGGTTGTGGTGAGACTGAGTCCCAAAAGTTTTCATCGAGACGACCAAGACCATCCCATCTAAATGTGTTTTTGTGTTTTGTACTAGTATTTGACATTACACAGCCATGACAGTAAACTTGGAAGAAGGACTACGTGTCAAGTGTTGCCACTTGTTCAACCCTGCTGAGCAGAGACACTGGCGCGCCCAGGCGAAGCAAGCCGGTGGCGCTGACGGGAGCACCAGCAGGCTTGGAGCAGTTGTCTGGCAGCTTGGCGTGGGACCGTCTGGCAAGCTGCGACCTCTCCGGAAGGTTGGTTTCATGCTGCCTTCCTTTCAAAAGCGTTTGCATGTACATTGTAGTTCTAGCTCTAGTTTGACTTGATACATTCCAGTTCTTGGAAATCAGCCCTATTCCCGACAGCATCGCGAAGGGTTCTTCCGGGAAGCCGAGCAGCGATCGCCTGCTTCTTGCACAGAGAGTGACGCAGATAGACAACATCGCCTTCTTTTTGCACACAGAAATACTCTCAGAGCAACATAGATAGATAGCACAGAAGACTGATTTGCTCAGCGCACAGAGAGACAGCCCACAGACAAGACGCATAGGATTGGACAGAGAGCTGCGCACATACCTTACTTTGTGCATACACATGAGATATCACGTTGAAATGCTACAGAGATTTGCACAGAGACTTGGCTTTAACATTTCGTGTGAAGAGTTGTGCAGAGATGTTTCCTGGTGAGATATCACGTGAAGTCTTTTGGTGTGCGCGGGTAGTGAGACGGCTCAGAGATGTGGAGCCAGAGTTTGTGTTCGAAGTTAAAAGTAGTCTTTGGTGCGCAAAAGCCACAGTCTTAGGCAGTTTCTCAAAAACCAAGGTTTTCTGGCAACTTGTCCGCCCTCAGCGGGGATCGGCGTGTTCGATGTTCAAAACCTGGAGTGTTTTGCGACTTCTCAACGTCAACATCTCCGCGGGACCCTTTGCGGGGATCCGCATGGATGTGCAAAATCCGGACGGGTTTGCATTTTTTTTAACATGGCGCAGGCCTCCTTTGAGGGTCGGCGTGATCGATGCGCGAAATCACTCAGCATTCGGACAAATCTTCAGAATTTGTCTAGTTGCGAGCTTGGCAGAGAAGCTTGCACCGAAAGCTTTCACAAAGCCACTTGCGTCGAACACTTGTGCAGTCAATCTTGAGCACAGACACTTGCGAAGGGAACTTGTGTGGAGAACTTGTTCCGAGAAACTTGGAACTTACTCAGAGCAGATAAACTTGCAAAGAGGCTGTCAAGTGCAGTTCGCGCAGATAATCCTCAGAGAACTCGTGCAATCTGTGCAGAGAAACGTGCGCAGAGAAGCTGGTGCAGACCGCGATGCGGCGTCATGTTTTTGCAGCCGGCTTGCTTTTGTGTTAGGCTTGATGCTTCGGACTAAAACTATCCAACGGGTGGCCGGAAAGCAGACACTCACCAAGTCTAACATCCGGAAGTGGTCTCTGCGCCGGTTTGTCCGCGCAAGTTTCCTTTTGCAAGTTTGTTTGTGCATTTCTCTGCGCAAGCTCTCAGTATTTTTTTCTTTGTGCCATTCTCCGTGCGCAAGTTCTGTTTGCGAGATTCTGCGCGCGTCCTGCTCAACACAGGTAGCTAGCTCTGCGCCAGTATCTTGCTGCAAGCTTCTGTGCTGCGGGCTGGTTTGCGTTGAATAGTTGCGGTTTTCGAGCTGGAGCGGACAAGTGTGCGACCCACGAGACAAACTTTCAGGCCCGGAGCTGCACTTGAAACAGAGCTTTACTACGCGTTTGTCCATCCGTTTTGCGCGATCTCCGCAGAGGGTCGTGCGGAGATCGCAGAAGAGACACGTTTTACTGCTCGTTCACGCATCTGACACTTGCGAACCTTGCGTAGGAAAGGTTGAAAAGTCGACAGCCCGCACATTTTGTACATCGACACGCCGATCCCCGCAGAGGGTCGCGCAGAAATTGCAAATCGCGATGGCGCTGAGTGTTCGGTCCTGCGAGAAACTCTAGCGTCACAGCTCTGCGCCATCTCATAGAGTGCGCACACAAGAGCACATCATGTCGTATATATGTCATGTGTAGTGTCATCGTAAAATGTCAGCGCAACCCTTTGTGGCATCTCGATGTGATATCTCATGTTTATTCACGCAGTAGGATCTCGGTGCAATATTTTTGTGTCCTCTGACAAGTTGTTTTATTTTTGTTGCTCTGCGTTGTCCAGTGTCTCATCACAGCAAGTCTTCCGTGTTAGTTGTCTGTGTCGCACTATACTCTGTATCTCGGTGCAAGAAGCAGGCGATCTTACTGGAAGATCTCTGTAATGCCTTCGGGAAAACAGCCTCGCGCGTTTGGGCCACACGTCGTCTGGTTTTTGATGGATTCAGAGACAGAGAACGCTGTGGGCAAGGCAACCAGGCAGCTTGTTGTGGCGCAAGGTAGAATCGGAACAACATGTTTGGCACCCAAGGCGCCTCATTCGTTGCAGATTCCGTCGTGAATGGCCGCACTTCCTATGCTGCCAAGGGTGCTGGTGATGAAAGGCTCCTTCGCCAAATCTTTCAGCTTGCTCCTTGATATCTTTCAGAACTTATAGAAACTGAGCGTCGCAAGTGATTGCTGAGGTTTGTGCTATGGTACTCGGCCACCAACCAGACGCACCTTGGTGCAAGTGTGTGTATGAAGGGCTGTGCCGGAGGAAATATGTCGGTGTCTTGTCTCTCTTGACTTTCTTGTGAGAAGTCGCAAGGCTTCGCAAAAGGAAAGGCAGTTGAAACGAGGCAGAGCCTTCCTGTGAGGTGGGTGGTGAACTTCGGTGGAGTGGCGCATGGTTTGGGCCAGGAGGCAACCCTGCTCCTCTACAGCGAGTCTTTCAGCGGGGAGCCCACAGACACCCGGCTGCATTCGAGCTGGGGAGCGACAAGAGCAAAGAGATCTGGTTCGCTGTGACTCGGAACGGACATCCCTTGTACATTTCTGAGCAGAGTGATGCCAAGAGATCTCAGCCATTGTCAAGAGATCTCAGCCGATGCCAAGAGATCTCAGCCAGAAGAACCATGGGAGGTTTGATCATGTTGCATCTCAGGACGTGCGTCCGCTTCTTAGTCAGCGTCGTAGCGGGAACAACTCACGTCTGCCATGGCACCCAGGCTCTTGGTATTACTTTGACGCTTACATGCAGCGATGGATGGCAAGCCCTGGTACGAGGTTCAGCGGAGTTGAGGCCATAGGGAGGGAGCATGCACTTGGAGCACCTGTGGAGATTTTCTCAAAGTCCGATAGTGGGGTGTTTTTTTCAGCTTTGAGAGTAGGATCAGCCACATTGTTCCCTGAGGCAGATCCAGCTGAGGAGGGCTGGCTGGATGAGTTGTGGCGATCTGTCATGCCGCTGCCTCCGCTTCAGACAAGTCTGGATTAACGTTTCTTGAGTTTTACAACCTTTCAGCGCGATGGACAAGGGCCCACGGCCCATGGCGCTCCTGAATATCTTGAAGCTTGAAGCATGGCCTTCTGCCATCTTATTTTTTCTTTCTAGTTGCTGAAAGCAACCACTATTTCGTAGCCAACTCCGGCAGCCCTTTTCCCCCTCTATGCGTTTGCCGAATCAATTCTGCCTCTGTCTTCTGGACCTTGTTCCGGAACGGTGGCAGATGAGCATTTTCCAAGGCCTGCGCAGGGGCAGTTAGCGTTGGCCCACGGACTTGTCCGACCAACAAACGTTGGTGCACCGCAAGTCGTTTCTCTGGGTGGGTATCTCTTGATTCCGCATGCTGGCTTCAACTTCTGGGCTAGTCAAGGTGCTCCCAGAAGATTTGCTGCACTCAGTTCAGGCTGTACCACAGCGCGGTAAAATTGAAGTTTTTGTGCAAGTTGAGCGGAGAACGGTCAGGATCAGTCCTCTCTAGCAAGATTAGAATCTGCCCACTAGGTATCAAACTTAGGACATTTTGGCTGCAAGAGGAGGCTAATAAGCAATTTGCCGGGATCATTTGCTTACGGGGATCTTATAAGCAAGCCTGCCGGGATCTTTTTAGAGCTCTGAGCTTGAGGGAAGCACACACGGCTTGCCTGCAGGTTGTGCCGCGCGATCGAAACACCTTTCTCTTCTCTGCAACAATGACATCCAAGGCTGAACTCTGGATTCTGCACTGGACTCGTGAGTTTGGGAGTAGCCATGTCCAGTCTCCCCGGATCATCATGCATCATGAGGGTTTGTGCTTGGTTGACGGCGCTATTGCTGGGGCTGCCCGCCAGGTGTCAAAGCTACAGCGCGCCAGCCTGAGGAAGCCGGTGAAGGCAAGGTCCATGCCGTGGCCAATCATGTTTCACGAAATGGTTGTCCATCAACCCTGTCGTAAAGAAACGTTTAGATTGCTTCCTAGCGGATGTATGGATCTCATGTGGGGAACTCACCTCCGTGTGCGGGAGGGATGGGCTGCACCAGGTGGAAGTGAGCTCCAAGAGTGACACTGCCGCCGCTGCCTCTGCGAGTCACCCGACACACTGAAGGGCCCAAGGGGAAGCCGTGGTTCAGGCCGGCCTGGTGCAGAACTTCCTTTTGATCCCGTTCAAGCCCTTGGCTTGGAGGGAAAAGCCACTGGAAGTGGAGTTGATGTTGCCTGAGGTTCAAGCAGACCTACTTTGCAGCCTTGATCGCCCATTTCATTCACTATTCGGTGCGCCTATGCAACACTGCTCACATATGACGCATCGAGGCTTCGCATAGGCCCCCAGTGGACAGTCAGATGCAGGCGATGGTCTTCACTGACACCTGCTTGGGAGCACAAAGGCTCTCAATTTTCTTGAGGCCAGGGTCTCCCACCCAGCTTAGTTCCGTGCTTCAATGCGGTGCCAGGCACATGGGCATGAAGTCGATCTGCCTGCATGGACAGATGAATCAGGCTCCACTATCCTGTGGTTTCCTTGACGCAACCAGCCAAATCTAAGAAAGGGCGTCGCTCAAAATTAAAGCGTCTGCCTCTGAAAGCTGCTGGACAGACTCGTCTTCCCAACCAGGACCACAGCAAAACGCCCCCCCCCCCCCGGAATTTGTCGGCCAAGCTCCTTTCTGCTGGCGCCTTGGAGATCCTGTTAGTGACAGTCTCTGTGGGACTTTTTTGTATCAGATTTGATGTGATGTGGAAGCATGCAATTGGCGGGCCAAGTGAAGGCTGAATGTTCCTGTTCGCTCCCAAAAGGCCCGGATCTTGTCAGGCACAGCGGCTGGGAGCCCTCAGTGGATTCAAGGTCCATGGGGCACAGGGGTGGGAGTTCTCGCACGGCACCCGAATTCGGCCGGGTGTGTGCCATCCGTGTGGCGCTCTTGGAATGGCATGCAGAGCTGGTGGCAAATATTGGCCTCATGGCCTTCACTTTTGCCAGAATGAATGTTTGAGTTGAGGGAGGCAACGGTCCCAAAGATCCCCATCCATGAGGAGTCATTTGAGCGACTTTTTGATACATGAAGGAGTCTGGCCTCCAAAAAAAGTAAGCCAAAAGCACGGCTCGCTCGGCCAGGCCAAAGAGCAAAGGATTTTGGTCTGCACGGATGTGGCATCCCGCGGCTTGGATGTGCCCTCCGTGGACCTGGTGGCAACCTGAGCTTCGAAGCGGGGTGGAAAGTGGATGGCTTGACGCAAGGTTGTCAACTACGACATCCCCAAGAACTCCAAGGCACATCGCGTGCGATAAGTTGAAGGCGAGTTGAAGTTTTCCAGGACTACATTCACAGAGTGGGTCGCACTGCCCGAGCCGGGCGTACGGGCAAGGCTGTGACCCTGGCAGCGAGCCCAGTGCTCCACTTTCATACGACCTTGGGGATTTGCCGAGGGGCGTACGCTTTTTAGGGATCCTAAAATTGGGGACACAAATTGACATCCGGCCCATTGACCACTATTGTGTCCTGAGGTGACCCAATATGACGTAGAGCTCTTCCAGCGCGTGGAGCACTTCCTGGGGAAGAAGCTTGAGGACAGGGCTCAAGGGTCTGCCCATGGTGACGCATCACCTGGATACCCGCGCTTTCTCCTAACCTTCGCGGGTTTCTTCTCGGGCACCGGCCGCAGGAGTTCACCGAGCTGGTGGACACCAAGGTGAAAGCCAGCCACGAGCGCGTGCTCGAGGCCTGCGAAGCCTGCGAGTCCTGGGGACTTCACGGACGTTTGAACAGACCCAGAAATTCGGAGCCTCATGGCTTTCAACTGAAGCCATCCTCCATGCAAGCTGCTGTGTCATGCTGTCGGCGTGACATGGCAGAGGCTTTCAAGACCTTGGCGATGCTCGTTGTATCGTTGTATTTGCAACAGTTGGCGATGGTTCAATGCTGTATTCCAGCCCAGGTTATGTTGTGATAGGTCTCAGGAGGGGCCAATGGGGAGCGTAGCATCAGGCAGTGGTTTGCCTTTCGGCGCCCAGCGATGCTTGACCAAATCATCGCTGCCGAGAGATTTGAAGCGAATATCAACTTGGAAACATCTGCGGACGGACGCTTTCCTATGGGCATAATTGGTAGGGCATGTGTAGAGAGCCTGCCAAGCGACGAACAGTGCTACAAAGAACAGATGCAAAAGGTGGCCATGAATACTGTACTGAGAATATGCTCCAATGGGCAAGGCCCACAGAATGAATTGAGAACATTGGCAGAATTGGTCACGGCTTCTTCACCATCACTACCTAGAGTCGCCCATATAATAAGATCCCGCGGATTTGCGGCTTGAAACAAACAGATAATTGTCCAGCCCCAGGTGGCGCATATCCACATGATTTCGATGCCGCTTTTGGACTTTTGTGAAACTCGGGGTCGCTGGCCAATTTCGCACACCTCGCCCAGTCTGACGAGGCACTTCGCAGCACCGAGCTGGAGCTTCGTGAGGAGGCGCGAAGCGGGATGGGGAGGGTTGCTTCGTGGTTGATGGCATTGAGGTCCGAGCAGATTGGCATGTCTCAAACACGGATCGTGGCTTTCTTTTGAGGAAGCGCTCTCTAAAAAGCTCCCAAGCTAGTTAGCGCTTTCCAAGTGAAAGCACGCAGCCTCTCGAATCAAGCCTTGCGAAGGAGGAAGGTGCCTCCGACCGTGCGGTGAAGAGGACAATGTGATAACGTGGGCTTGGGTGGTGAGCATTGCTTACAACTGCAGGAAGATGCACAAGCAGCAGTCGAAGGGTGGCAAGAAGCGCCGGCGTTGGGGGCTGAGATGGATCAATCATTGTGAACAATTGCGAGAGGAAGAAGGTTTGAATCCTGTTCAAAGGTAGATATTTGAAGGCAGCTTAGGCTTGACGGACTGTGGCATACATTGTGCTTGGAGAGCACGTGCTTTGGGCTTCGCCGAGGCTGAGGAGCTGACAGACCAAGCAGCCAGACAGAACCGGCGATGCCTCGCAAATGCGAAGCGGATCTGGATCGAATCGACGCCCATAAAATGTGCGGGATGCGTGGAAGTGTCTCAAGCCAAATACACGTGGATGCTGGCCTGTTGCCTGCCAAAGTTGAGCTATGCTGCTGTTCTGGCTGCGGTCACACGACCAGTTGTCGCCGATTCGGCTCAGCTTGTGTCCTGCGAGATTCACGTGCCTGTCGCTACGCACACAGGGCATTGTCAGATTTACATGGGTCCATGGTGAAAGTTGCCTTGGGCGCAGGTTCCTCCCCGCTTGGGCGCGCTGCCCCGCCATGTCTGGAAGCTAAATCGGCATATGGTCCGCATGTCCAAGGAAGCAAAAGCCGAGAAGTCGAAACTTAGCGTGGTGAGCCAACCACCCGTCAACTACGTTCCCGCAAGGCGGGGAAGCGCAAGGGATGGGGCTCAAAAAATGGGTGGCCAGAGCAGGGAAGGGACGCCATATTTTACCAAGGGTAGTGCTTATTGTGAGTGACGAAGCGGCAAGTAGAGAAGTGCGCCTTGAAGCACAGGGTGGTTTCCTCCAATTGTCAAAACATTCCGAAGCAACGAAAGGAACTATGATCCTTTGCAATGGTGGCACTGCAGGCAGCCACGTTATTCTTGCTTGTTGCTAGCACGCTTCTTTGCAGGCTAGGGGCAACGGATGCTACCCCCTTTGACGGCCGTGAGAACTTTTTCGCCTTCGTTCTCGATGGGTCTTGCGTTGCTGGCTTTATCTGTTGCAGCTGCTCTGCTCTGTACTGTGCGTGCCCCAACATGCTGGGTGCAGCCTTTCTTGACGCAAACGTGCAATCAAAGAGTTTGTCTTGGATTGGTTGCTACTCAAGAAGCCAGTTCAGCATTCGGTGGATCGATCCTCGTGTGTGGTCTCAATGCGCCGAAGGTTACCAGAGGACGAGCCGCAGAGGTCGAGCCTAGAGGTCGGTGGGTCGCTTTCCTCGTCTTTGGGACAACTGGCTGGTTCAGTGCAGTCCACCATCTCCAACATCTTCGCACCTTCAAAGGCCGGATCAAGTGCTGCAGATTTTAACTGAAGAATTCCGCGTCAGAGTTGCAGGAGAAGCGAGAGGAGGAAGACCCTGGAGAACTGCCCCCGGAACGGCAGAAGGCGGGACCAACGAAACCCTTGCCTGGGGCCAGCGAACTGCCCTGGCTCAAGGTAGAGGATAACCAACTGCGACTGACCGCCAAATTCGATGTTGACACAAATTGGCAGTTGCCATTAGCCTGGGCAGGAGATGCGAGGGCCACCCAATTTTAATCAGGCCCATCCAACTTCTTCACATCCTCGTGGGGGGGGGGCAAAGATGTCCGTATCTCAGAGAATGATCGACATGGGACTGTTAAACCCAGCAGAAACCGCAAAGATCCACTTGGCCATTTGGAGGGCACGTGCTGCTTGCAGAGTTGGAGCCAACAGATGCTCGCTGCCAAGAGCAAATCTCATTGGCTGTGTGCGTAGCACCCTCACTCACACTAACACCAAGACAGGCTCCGTGATCCTTTGCGGATCGCTTGAAAGTCGATGGTTGCTTCCCCCCTCCGTGGTTTTGGGTTTCGCAGGTCAAGAAGGTGGAGACTGGTTCCAGATACAAGACCGAGGCGCAGCCTTTGGGCATCCCCAAATCCGAGCTCCATGTTCCGGCACGTGTGCAGGCGCTCGGCTTGCGGCAGAGGAAAGCCTTGCAGCCAGAGGCAAGGGATTGGCGGCTCCCTTTCGAACCCATGAAAGGTCCAAGAGGGGCAGTTTTTAAGAGTCGACTGGGGCCACTCTGAGGCGCCAGTGCCAATACTTTTTGGATGTTTGAAGTCTCTACTTGCAGTAGATGGTGACCATGTCATTTCCGCCAGTCGCCATCCTCTCGCTCTCCCTCTCATGGAAGTGATGCCAGCAGGGCCAGCAGGAGACTGTGACTTGCCAAGCCCAGCCATTTGACGAATAGACACTTGTCAAAACCCAATTGTTTTCATGAGGCCCAGGGTCTCTTGTTTGTGCAATATCCCCATGATTTCGTTAGTCGAGCACTGCTCACTTGCCGCCTTTGTCAGGGAGCGTTGGCCAGCTGATGCCCACTAAGCAAACGAGCTTTTCATTTGTTTCCGTTTCCGGCCTTGCACTCGTAGGAAACCAATCGAACTCCCGGATAGTCGCCAGTTTTGATCAGCGTGAAAAGTCATTTGGTTTGGGGCACCCAAATTTCGAGCCACAGAGTGAAACAAAAGCCGGCATCCCCTCCAACCCATCTACTCAGGGGACTCCCCAGCGAGTCTTTTGGACGAGGCTGCTTTGCGCGAAGCATCAGGAGCTCGGCGCAGAAAAGCTCACCTCCGGCTGGGCCGGAGAAGAACTCGCTGCCGCTGAACACATGGCCCAAGAGCTCCAGAGAAGGCCGCGTGTGGATTCCATGGATTCCAAGTTGCGAATCATTAGTAGTGGGAGCCTCGAGAAATCAATGGAACACGTTTCTCTCCAATTCTTTGGAGCAACTCATGGTGGATGGGGCCGTGTTTGTGCGATCGTGAATGCGACTTGGCTCCGACCCTGTGCCAGGCAAGGAGCCGACCAAGCCGAGGTGTGGCACCAATTGAAATGCGAATGCGTGGAGTTGCGAGTGAAGGGCATCCAAAAGGAACGCCGGGAAAGCTGAATGAGAATTGCTAATAATTTTTGGGATGGCACATATGCTCACTATGTGATGCAGGGAAACGAAGAAAGCGGCAACTTGGCTTCGAGAGGTGCTTGCATGCTTAACGCCAGGGAAGTGTGGCAACATGCGGTGCAATGCAGGTTTCTATGTTGTCAGATTGAGAGGGGGACGTAGCTTCTGGCAAGAGGGAGAGGGAGTTGAATTCGCGTTCCTTGCTATTTGCCGCTGCTTCCAAGGTCAAATCCAAGTCAAGCCAACCCCGAGGCTGGAACCCTCCAGGACACGCCTTCGCAGAGAAAATAACTCTGGCACCCCGTGCAGCATCCGAGAAAACTTGATGTGGGAGATGCGTGACAGTGTTTCAAGCAGGCAAGGTCACACTCTGGAAAGCTTTTTCGCGGCGCATGCGATGCGCATGCACTTTTTTCCAACTCTGTTTGTGCAGCGAGGTGTTCGTCGGCAGTTCCGACATGTGCAGGTGAGGCGCCTTCTGCGCTCAAGGATCTGGGGCCAGAGGGGATCCAGGCGTGCATCGGAATACCCCAACACGCTTTGAGGGGATCCAAGTTTTAGGGTCGCAGTCGCAGATGCTGCAGATGCCACGATTCCGCCAGTGAGCCGGGTCACCAGTGACCGACAGCTGATCGAAATCGTGTACTATTGAATCCGGCAACGTAGGACACCCTTACTGGTCCGCACGGCCATGCGTCAGAAGCTTCCGGACCGCTTTGGTATCCACTTGCATGGGGACCCAACATTTGTGACGTATTGGAAGCAAGAGTGGATCTTTTGCGCCTGCTGACGAAACCCTACCTACCAACCCACCGCCGAAGAACAAGCAATTCGGTGGGCCAGGCATGTCAGAAGGCTTTGGAAGAGGGCAAGCAGCGCCAGGGTTGTGCCGCTCGGATCGCTCTCTGGAGGGATGCAGTTGGATAATCTTGCGGTCGGCCTAACGAGGAACCAACTTAACTTTGGATGTTCATTTGGCACGAATCCCATGGTCTCACAGTCTCGGGATCATGGCATCCTTAAGGTTAATCTATCAATTTCCGCGTCCACGAGGGTTTCCTGCTCCATCCACAGCAGTCTTGGATACCTACACTCAAGCAACCGTGAAGCAACCAGCCGATTGTGCATGGGGAACAGGAGGTTCCAGGTGCTTGCATATATTTGGGGCCACCGTCTCAAGTTCTACGATCCATACAGGATGACTGAAGAGAGGTATGTTTCTGCCATCAAGAAAGGCGCTACACATGCGTGGCCAGTCAACCAGGATTGCCGTGTTGCTTTTCAGTGATTGAGAGCACAGCTACTACGAGCTATTGGGTTTGGACTGTGGCCTTTGCTTGCATAGGGTATACAACTGAGACCAACTGCAGGCATACGGCAGGCCCAGCAGCAGATGGCAGCCCGTGAATGACATGCATGTTGTCTTTAAGTGGATCTCTTCGTTGTTCCCCCAAAGCATACCACGCATGCGTAAGAAAACAACGCGTGCGCACTCGTGGAGCCGTGTCCCCCCTCCCCCCGTCAACCTAGCTCTCAGCTGACTCTGGTTTCTTGGCAGCACACAACCGAAACTCAATCATGCAGAATTCTAGGCCCCTTGAAATCAAATCCTTGAAGCACATTGTAAATCCTTGGTATCGTAACGATACCACATCATTCCCCTTGTCTCTCTCTCTCTCTCTCTCTCTCTCAAGAAGTAAGTGATTTGTGACACCATTTTTGGACAATCCACAAATCCTAAATGCACCTTGCCAGCAATTTCAATGGCGCCCAAATAGGCCAAACTTCGAAGCATGTTGCCTTAGCACGAACAAGCAGCAAGACTCCATTGCATTTGTTGCTCTTTAATCAACACATCCAAGCAAGTTTTGACACCTAGAAGCACCAGGGAGCGGTTTTGACTTGGTTTCCTTTCGACACGAAAATCAACGGAGAGGGGTTCTCCACTGGGACAGACCCGAAAGATAACATGTCAAAACATACTCAACATATCAAATGTTGAGAAACATCTCAGCTATGAGCCCGTCATACAGTGGATGGACCAGGTCCTGCACTAGGTGGTTTATCAGGATTTATAGGCCACCGGCTAAGCCGAGCATTTCCCAAGTCACTTGTCAAGGATCCACACCCTTGCCTAACATGTTTGGAGTCAAAGTTTGGAGCGGTCGTCCCGAGAGACCGTGGGGGTTGGGCTTGATACTCTCACACCTGGCAAAAGGAGCGATTTGTGAGAACGATGTGTTGGGAGTCAAGGTCCTCGCAAAGGGTACCTGACACAAGTTTCCAGACAACAGGTGCATGATACAAGGCACCTGATAAAAGATTCTATAACAGACCTGAAGGAAGCTTCCTTTTGGTTTGGGAGGCCTTTGGGCCTTTTCAGTCTTAGTCGCTTGGCCTGCAACCGAGCGAACTGACGATAGAGGCAGACGTGGTCACTTTTTGGAACCACGACCAAACATCGACCAAACATCGACCTTTGAAACGAGCCCAACACAGGCCCTGATTTTGACATCCCCAGGATCTCCACATACCTAATCTGAATAAACCTGCCTGGTTCCAGTCCCCAGTTCGCCTCTCGCCGAGGTTAAGCTTTGCTTCGTGGGCCATGCCCGTGCGGGGAAGACGTCCACTTTGCTGGCCCTGGCAGAGCGGCCTTTCGACGAGCAGCAGCCGAGCCTTGGATTCCAAGCGCTTGCGTTTTGGGGAGCGCCTTGGGAAGTGCAGATATGATGTTGGGCTGGAAATGGAAGAATACCGGTCGGTGGGTGGGTGGGTGGGTGGGAAAAAGTAAATGGGGAGTTTGTGTTCCTTGCGAAATTGAAATGCTCAACCCGGGACGTAACATTGATTTGAGCGGCGGGTTGTGCGTCTTTGGCCTTTGTCATCACGACTTATGTCAGGCTTCATCAACCGTTTGACTGGTTTTAAAACCCCGCAAGGCTTAGACCCAGAGGGTTCTCGATTGCAGACACGGCTCTGAACAGACACGGGTTTCCAGAGAAGCAATCTGACCAGACAGGAATCCGTTGAAAGGCGCACGTACCCGCAAAAGTTGCTGCCTTTTTTCCACAAGTTGCTGCCTTTTTTTTCCGGCCCAAACCCTGTAAATTTACAGTAAGACTACGTTTTGGCACTCGGCATTGCTGCCTTTTTCTCAATTTGCTGTCTTTTTTTTTGGTACGGTCGGGGGGGTACACCGGGTACGGTACGGACGTACCCGAATAAATTGCTGCTTTTTTTTTGTAAAAATTGCGGCCTTTTTTTTTTGGCCCAAACCCTGTAAATTTAAAGTAAATCTGCGTTTTTGGCACTCGGCATTGCTGCCTTTTTCTCAAAAAATGCTGCCTTTTTTTTGGGTACGGTCGGGGGGGTACACCGGGTACGGTACGGACGTACCCGAAGAAGGTGCTGCTTTTTTTCCAAAAAATGCATCCCTTTTTTTCCGGCCCAAACCCTGGAAATGTACAGTAAATCTACGTTTTGGCACTTGGCATTGCTGCATTTTTTCAAAAAATGCTGCCTTTTTTGGGGTACAGTTGGCCCTTGTGGTAAGGCATTCAACAAATTGAACTGATAAGGCAAATCAAATCAAGCAAGTGAATTAGTCGATCTAAGAACCATGAAAGATACTTAGCTGACCTGCACATGATTGAACTGTTTGAGAGGATACCTTTCATCACAGAATCAGTGTTTAATATGCATAGTATGGGTTCGGGGAGCAGCTTTGCAAAAGAACGGCTCTTTTTCTTCGCTTGGCTTTCAGCTTCCTCACAAGCCTGAGGAGTACACATGGTGTGGATACCTGCGTCCTGCAGAACGAGCAGCTCGGTTGGCACCCATCGCTGGTTAGGCTTTATGGCATGCCGTCTCAGGCTGCTGGAGATCTCCCAGAAGCCTAACCAGGCTTGGTCAGCCCTTCGCGCTGTGACGGTTTGCTTCGTGTGGCTCTGTCAGTCTGTGGCTCTTGCGATTTTTTGCTGCCTTTGCTTAGCTGTGACTCCTGGCAAAGCGCGTAGGTGGATGGCACGCCCTGGGGCGTGCTGGAAGGGAGGAGCGTTCAAGAGATGCTGGAGCGCGGCGTGGCCAAGGGTGTGGCACAGGAATTGATGCTCGACTTGCAGCCGAGTCGGTGTTGATTCCATCTCGAGTGGATGGCATGCACGCGATGGCAAGTGTTGCCCCCAAGCCTCTGAGGAAAGGCCGACGGCGAGGGGCCTGGCAGGTGCGCAAGCCTGTTGAGTCTGAGGGATTCTCAATTTTTGATTGGGAAAAAACGCAGGACAAAGAGCAGCGACCGGCCTCAGGGAAGGAGCGATGAACATATTGGCCGGAATATGTGACAGTTCCCAAGGCAAAAATCGCAGCGCTCAGATGCAAGCAAGGGTGGCCAGGTTTGTTAAAATTCTGCTTCAAACACATGTTGCAAGATTGCTTGCAGGAGGCACCACCTCCTGCCAGCGCGCACGAGACCTTATCCGAGCATGACGTCCAGGAAGTTCTGAAGATGCCTGTGGATCTTGTAGCGAAAGCTGTGAAATCCGGGCAGGAGGACCTTGCTTTGTCGGTGTTCAGCGCCTGCGACAAACAAAAGGGTGTACAGTACGCTTCAAGAGGTTTAGTAATGCGACCGATGCTACATAGTTGTCAGGATCCAGATCAGGTGATCCTGCAGACCTGGGACTTTGCTGGACAGGAGATGTTCTACAGCATGGCTCACGTCTTTATCACCTCCCCAGGCAGGGACCCTTTTGGCCGCCTGTCCATGGTCAAGCTTCCATCGGAATCAGCTTCTGCCAGGAATTTATGTCTTGGTGGTCAATCTTGCCGCCTGGCTGGATGCTGTGGCTGCTCCGGAGCCCATGTGTTCCTGCGGCTTGCCTCTGGAACTCTCAGTAGCTTGGCTGAAGAGAGGACTGTCTTGCTAGCTCTTGCTGGGGCGCCTGAAAACAAGATGCTAAGATCCTGTGCTTCATTGACAAAACTGCCGCCATTTTCCGTTGTCCCTGCAGTGATGGAGCTGGACACAGACATGAGCATGCTGCCCCAATTCTAGGACTCCCTGGACTTCTGGTTGGCTGCCGTCCTGGTGCATGCACCAGATGCACGCTTGATCATCGTTGGAAGCCACGCCGCCTGCCATGAATGAAACTGTGCTTGATCCGGCATATTCTCGCAAACCACTTGCCACCTTGAGCAACAACAAATGCTAAGGACGACATGATACCATCAAAGCTCTCCTCAGTCGTTCGTGAACGGGTGAACAATTACCTCATGCAGCGACTGGATAATCCGGCGTTTCATTCACGCCTTCACGTCAATGAAGAGGACATTTTGCCCGATGCGGTCGATAGTGAACATTGCGAGTGGACCCTCCTTTACGCGGACAAAAGTCGAGTGCTGTTATTTCTGGCCGGCATTCACAGGGTTGTCACCGCATCCTCATCGCAGGGCAAACTTCCATGAGTGCTTGTCAAACCGTGCGTTACCTTTCTTGGGGTCTTGCTTTCCTTTTGTGCTGGCCTCAAAAGAAAACAAGCAGCAACACAGCAACACACGCAACATGCAAACACACACACACACAGAGTGGCCCAGCGATCCAGGAGCAGCTGCTTTTCTTCCCGGTGGACAACAGCAGATCCACTGATGCTGGGCGAGGTGTTGCTCGTTTGCGGAGGGCGCTGGACCAACTGGCCCTGGAAGCTGCCGAGGAGATTTGCCCAAGTCCTGCATGGTTCCTTTCTTTTTTGGGGCGGCTTGAGCGATCAAATTTGGCAGAAGGGAGTCAAAAAGCGACTTGTGAGTGTGGACACTGCCGAAGTTTGCCCTTGTGAAGGGCCCTGACTGCCGTGGGGATGATAGGAAGTGGGCAAGCAACACAAAGGGGGTTTGCGACTGTTATCCGCTGAATAACACCCCAAGGTGGATTTGGAGAAAGTCAAAGGGTGCGTTTTCCTCGGCCTGGAGAGTTCCAGGATTAGTCAGGGGGCTTTACTTGGGTGAGCTCGTCAAGCCTCGACTTTTCAATAACACCTGCAGCAAGACATTTTACTGTTTCCGCACAGCTCATTTGCATTGAAACATGTTTGAACGAACTCATATTGGCATGCCTCGTGGCAATGGCCTCGGCAATGTCGACTTGTAGTATTTTTGGATTTTGGATTTTGGATTTTCTGAGGGCAAAAAGGGACGTCTTCAAACAGAGGCGTTCTAGAGAGTGCCCCCAAAACCGGAGCCGGGGGGGTGGGGGTCATTTTGCCAGACCTTGTCAGTGCATGAGTATTGACTGGCCGTCGGCTGTTCATTCTTCAAATGCATATATATATATATATATATATATATGTTAAAATTCACCCTGTGGTTTCCTGCACTGCGGTGCTGCCTGTCTGTGGATGGGCAAGGGCAGGCTTCTCCGATTCAGCTTGAACCAGCCGTAGGCCGCTGATGCGACAGGAGGCCGGGTGGATCCCAACTCGCTGGGCGCAGTTCTTCAGCGTGCTGACGAGCCGACGGAGCGCCGAAGCCGAAGCCAAGAGGAGCGATGGGGCAACGGGGCAACGGGGCTGAAGCCGAGTCAAGTGGCGTTCAGGGCGTTCTGGGGCTGGCGTTCTGGTTGCCAGGCCGGCAACAGGGCAGTTGCCAGGCCGGTTCTTGGCTCATCGGATGACCGCTTCCCAGGATGCACTACGTGACTCTGGAAGAGCCGCCCGGCTCAGACTCGGAAGCGTGCAGCTTCGGAAAGCGGCAGCGCCACCTCAGCACCAAACAATGCCAGAACTGTGAATGGTCTAGTTGAACTGAAGCTGTCCATGGAAGCACAGCCCAAGAATCCGCCAGTTCACATTGAGAACCTGTTCATGTAGCAGCGCAGCAAGAGTCGGCTCGGATTCAGCCCGAAATGGCAAAGGCTGAAGGAGCTGGCCCAGCGCTTCGGCATCATGGGCACGGAGCTGGACTCCTTCCTGGCGCTCTTCCACGGACTGGGCCAGCTGCTCTACTTCCGAGGCGACAACAAAGAAAAGAACTAAGGGGCGACACAGGTGGGACACAGGTGGGACACAGGTGGGACAGGTAAGAAATCCAAGAGTTTTTTTTTTTTTTCCTCCCGCCTGTCGAGGGTGATGGCCAAAGGCTTCCGAGCCCGAAAGCAAAGCTGCAGGCTCCCCCGGGGTGGTGCTGGAGCCGCAGTGGCTCCTGGACGCCATGGCGCAAGTGGTGGGCTGTCCACGTGTGCTCCAGCACCTCAGAGAGTCGACTTAGCTGTGAGAGGGTGGGACTCAGTGGTTTCTCATGATTTTTGGTGTTGCTTTTAGGAGAATTCCAGATGCAATTGGAAGGTCTTGAAACTGCATACATTTTTTGTTGGGCAGAAGGAATTTGGCAAGAAGTGCCTGCACCGCCCCCCTCAATCACAAACTGGGATAGGTAGCCGCATGATGTAGCATGCTGGCAATATGTGAACTCATCCTGATTCGGTGCGAGGCGACATTCTCACGACACCGCCGCGCTATGGCAGACTCTGGGCATCAATAGTTTAGATGCAGTGCTGGTATCGGCGTCGCATGCCTTCGAATACAGACACTTCCTGTTTTGGACCCACTTGCTTTGCCTTCCACAAAGAGGTATGGCATTCACCGCCACGCCAAGGAGGGGCGAGCTGTCCGCGAAGCTCTTGGCGTCACTTTGGAGCACCGAGAGGTCTCCCCAGGCAGGGAGGAAACTCCTGGAACCGGGAGATAAGTGTGAGGTGGGACATGGGTTTGTTTCAGTTGGTTGCAGCCATGAACAGAAGCCCGGATTTTTGGGTTCAGCTGATTTGCAGGCAACCAGTGGCGGCATTTTCCAGAGACTCCGAATGGTCGCCAAGTCCGAGCGTGATGAGGCGCGGAAAAATGAGTGGGACAACTACCTCTGATGTCGCCGTGGATGTCGTATGGAGCTTTTCAACAAGAGTGACATGGCAAGGAGAAAGCAGCTTCACATTCTGCCGGGTCAGGAGACATTGCGGGCATTCCTGGAACACTTTGGCCTTCTCGTGCCTGTGCCATCCACAGGCAGGGTCTTAGGGAGGCAGTTACAGAGTGCCAGGGAGGCAGTTTGACCACGTTATTGTGGTATTGACCAATACCCATTTTGTTGCGGGACCTTGGTTGAGGTGGGTGTAGCTTGGCCAGATCCTGTGCTATTGTGAGTGCATGAGGCTTGCGGGGGGACTTCATATGAGAATACGTCGGAGCTTCAGGTCTATCTGGAGCCCGAAGCTGGCTGGTGCCAAGTCTGCTGCCGAAGCGCAACCATCCCGCAGCGGGGCCGGCCGAGGCGTTGGGCAAGGCCGAGGCTTTCGCGCAGTCTGGCCCGAATTTTGCCGACGATTTACAGCGTGCAGTCTGGCCAACAGCGGTCACCTCTCGGTTTCAAACACTATTCGTGCGAGTCGTGCTTTGAGACCATCAAACATCACCGACTCTCTCTCTCTCTCTCTCATTGTCATTCACTCTCTCTCATTCTCATTCTCTCTCATTCTCTCACATTCTCTCGAATTCTTTCTCATTCTCTCTCATTCTCTCTCATTCTTTCCCTTTCCCTGTCCCTTCTTTCCCTTTCCCTTTCCCTTTCCCTTTCTCTTTCTCTTTCTCTTCTTTGTTTCTTTCTGTTTTTCTCTCAACAGTGAATGAGCAAATCAGAGGTCTTTTGAGGCTGACCCCCAAACATCCCAACCCACCGACAGTTTGCAGAGGGTCCACCTTTTGCTGGTTGCGCAAGCTGAAAGACGTATAGCAAACACGAGTTGTTTGAGGTCGACCCTGCAAGCCTCCGCAGAGTGTTGCGCGAGTGAATTGAAAGTTGTCAAACAAACAATACGTTTTTGAGGGTCGTCCCACCCAAAGTGCACAGAGGCTTCACTTTTTAAAGGTTGCAAAACAGTGCGCTCGGCCGTGCCAACGGGCCCGTCGCCGAGAGCTCCGCAGGTGGTTTGCGCGCACGCGGATCCCTGTATTCCCTGTAGCTTTTTCCTGCGCTGTGCAGTGCATCTGGTCTTCAACATGGCGCTCAGCGGCATGAGAGCGTTCTGCTCGAGTTCCAGGCCAGCCTCTTCTTCGACTTTCACGGGGCGCTGCGGCAGCTGCTGCCCTCGCTGCTGCCACGGCTCTTTGCGGAGCTCCAGAAGTCTGAGGACCTCTCCTCCCAGGTGAAGATGGTGTGCCAGGAGAGCGTTGGAGTTCTATTGGAATGCCCCAAGGTGTTGGACCAAAATCCCCAGCGTCCATTTTGGGGGATTTTAAAGAAATTATAGCTGTGTTGGATTCCGACGAGACAACACAGTATTGTGTGAGTGATGCAGCGAGGTCGAATTGCAGCGAAGGCAACAGTGTAGCGTGTGGTTTGCCCAAATCATCCGGAGTGCACATTCGGAGTGGACCCCGGTTTGCGAGGAGAGTTGCGCTTCGAGACCGCATGTAATTTCCTTGCATCAGAGGTATTCAGCATCATGAGGATGTAGAAGCCCGTATTGATGTTTTCAAGCACTCAAAGCACGGGCTGTCCACTTAGATCTGATGGCACTTATTTGGCAGTTCTACTGATGCTACAGTGAGTATTCTTTCGCATTGTTTGGTGGCTTCTGCCGGGGTTTACTCTAAGGTCTACTGCACATGAGTGTTTGCAGATGCACTTGCCAGGCTGGCATACTCTCGCTAGCGGTTTGGCTGTTGCCATGTTTGCCACGTTTGCCTCGGTTTTCTCGAACCTGTCACTCTTGCTTTCCTCACTTGGCGCCTGGCGGTCTTCTGGTCGTTTCTTCGGGATACGGGTCTTTCTGCGACAGGGGCCGTTCAGGATATCTGGGACGCAAGCGCGCTGAAAGCTTTACAGTAGATGAACTCCAGAGTTGAAAAGATAATAAATAAAGCAGGGCAGAGCGGTTGCAATCCAAAGACACAGTGGAGCTCCTTTCAAGAGAAACGTCAACAAAATTGATAAGCACTTCTACCTAGACTCTTGACACACCGAGTCACAACCCGGGCTGCTCTTTGATGCCGCGACGACTTATGTTTCGTTGGTTGTGCACGATTTGCACATCCTGACTGGATAGGTTTTCACGCTGTTGCTGTAATCAGCGTATCATCCGTCTAGCTAGCGCAAAAGCTGTGGTGTTGCAGCATGTTTGATGGCGGTTGACTACAGCAGGTCCACCTTGCTAGAACGAAAAGTGCCAGGATTACTTGGCCTTCTCCATGAAGTCAGCGGGGCAGCCGATCTTCGTGACTCTGGAGTTGGTTTCTGAGCCAGGGGCCCAGCGCAGATCGATGGCTCCATGAAATCCTTCTGAAGATTCATTTCGCAGCTTCTTCTCATTCCTTGGGGGCCATTTTGTGATTGGGTATTTTGCAGTTGGCGGTTGGTTTGGCTTCCTTTCCAGACCATCCCCAAGCGGTCCAGATGTTCTCGCTTTCTGCACGTTGTTTCCTGGGATGGATCCAGCTGGTCTTGTTTCCGGGTTTTACCCTCCCCAGCATTTGTCAGGGCTTTGCCCCTCAACATCGTCAAACACATCCCTTTTGTTCTCCTCTTTTCGGAAAGGGAAGCCTAATTTGGGTGACCCTCATCTACCAAATGCATTCTTGTCGAATGCTATGTGATCGTCCTGTGCAAGCGATCAGAGCGCTTAGAACTCCATGAGTCCGGGTCCCCTGAATCAAAACCCGGGCCCGTGCGAGAAACGAGAGATGAGGCCCAGGGAGATGCTGCAGCTAACCGTCACAGATGCGCAGCACCCAGAGGTGGGGCATTTGATCATGCCGCCCAGCCGCATAAGCTGCAGACATTGGGTGGAGGCCAGCAGTTTCTCCCCAAATGGCCCCCTAAAATGGTTGGGTAGGTTTCTTTTCGGCTTCC